CACTTAGACTTTTTCTAAGAATTCTTTTAAATTGAAAAAAACATCTCTGGCTATGTTGATACTGTCAGTATTCACCCCAACTTCAAAGATTTTAATTAATTTTAACATCCCTCCTTCAAAAGTTTGAATTAATCATCCACGTTTTTGGCACTTGTTAACAGAATTCTCAGAACCCAACAAAATATTGAATTTGCAAACAAAATTTTTGAAAGTTACACACCAAATTTATTTGAAATTAAAATAAAATCATGTTCAAACATGCTTATTGTATGTGCATTTTGTTTAAAATATAAAAATGAAACAAAAATTTAGGATAAAATGACACAAGCAATATTCTGAAAACTGGCTTTTAAAAAAATGCTACAGAATTACATGAAAATGATGATTTTAAAATTTTGCAGAAGAAAATGATTTTGTTAAATTTTAACAACAAATACAAACTGAAATGAACATGCATCCCAAAGAGTCACTCTTAGTAAGCCTTAAACCTGTTCATATTGTTTTTGCATTTTTCTTTTCCTCTTCTTCTCTATATCCTTATGCAATGGATGGAAAGGCATTAGTTTTACAAAATTATATTATTCTGTTGGTAGAACATATCAAAATTCATTAAAGTATACAGAGTTGTGGCATTTTAAGCCACAGTCTAAAACTAAGGACTATCAAATTCATAATAGATAAATTGTTTACAAAATTCCTTGTAAACAACTTTTTCAATATCTGCATCATACCATGAAAAAACATTGGCTCAGCTAAGTGCAGCCCTGATGGGCATATATCCATTTTCCTTAATTATATTTTTTTACTGTTTGGTATAATTATTTTGTCTTGTACAAATAAACTGCATCTACTAACTTCATTGTATTACAACACAGATTGGTTTCACAGTTATACACACTGAACACGAAAAACTACATTAAAAAACAATATTTTTTTTCGAAGTTGAATGCATAATATGGTTGACAAAGGAATGATGTTTTGAAAGTTGTGAGCTTCTGTTATCAGCAGAATGGTAGTGAAGTACTACAGTGCAAACAGAAAATTATTACAAAAAATAAAATTATAAATCAACTACCAATTTAGAAAGGACAGTAATTTTTAAACTTTTAAAACAATCAATATTTTATGTATCATTCTGAATAAGTGAGTGGGTGTGTATAAAAAGCTACATATTTCAAGGAAAGGAAAAGAAATTATACACAAGTACAACAGTCAAGGTGGTATATTCACTTAACATCCCAGCTGGAATAGGTCAATTTAAATTAAGTACGTTTTTCTTTTCATAACTCTATATATTTACAGCAGTCTCTGTCAATCACATACTACAGATTGTAAAACCCTTAGCCAAATAAACTATCCAGCAAGCAATTCAACCTTTAGCTGTTATACTGGACTATTTATAAGAGCAAATTTTCATATCTATTAGTAATTATACCCATTGTTAGCAAAATTACATGTATTGTTGATGTCAATTCTAGTTTCATTCAAAGAAGAATCTGTTTATAGAATAAAAACATGCTTTATGTTGCATTTACACCAAATATTGTTGTTCAGTGAAGGTTTTTGGCATCACTGCCTTTCTACTGCTAATGTACATATGACTAAGAAACATTTTAATTGTTTATTGAAACTATTCATAGTAAACTGTTTGCATTTACAATTTAGAAATACCTGAAGATAGATGGAAGGCATAATATAAGTTTCACCTATAGACAAGTTTTCATTTCACTTTCTTCTTCATATTTACAATTATAAGTTTGATTATTTGAACTATACTGTACTTCATATTTACTTTAAATTCTATTTAATACATACCTTAATTCTTTCAGTTGACAACAGATGCTGTGCCATAGACTTGGTCAGGATTTGGAAGAAAAACCACGAATGTTTTAAAAACTTATTGATCACCAGGAAATCCGTGTTTGCAGGCCTGAGTATGGCAGTCAGAGCCTTGGTTAACTCTTCGTGTATGGTGGATTTACCAGATGTGTTGATGTTCTCAGCAACAAAAACATACTAGAATGTTAAAAAAAGATTATTAGAAAGATATCACCTTAATGTGTTGGAGAACAAAAAATCATTAAAATATTTACATTATTTTCAGGATATAAAATATAACTTGAAATTAAAATATTATATTCGTAGAACAAAAGGAAGGTCTTTTTAAAGTATTAAGGACTCATGAATACATGGTACTTCATTATAAAGTACAAATTGGTCTAATGTGAGTTACACTTACCCTACTTCTTAGTTGTTAACATGGTGTAGTATTTTAATAGATCTTCCATAAAGAAAAGAAAACTTTTCATCCTTAAAAGTATTACATTACAGATACTTCACACTGCAAATCTACATCACTTTTCCATATAATAATAATACTCTTATATTAACAACTGTGCTGGGAACCTAATAAAGAAGTTATAGTTACTACTGACAACTACTAGAAGTAGAAACATATATAAGTGATAATGATATGGAATATTAAGTTTGTCCCTGAAGAAGAAAGGTCCACCTTTCAAAAGTGCTCGAGTTATAGGGTTTCTATTCATATCTTTCAAGACTTCTTGAACCTATGTGTTTTTTTAACATAATGAATAGAATATTAATTAATATTTATACACTTAAAATTTATAAATCCACCATTTTGACCAACAGCCAAATTGTATATTATCTTAATAATACTTGCATAGGAAAGACATTTTACATCATGAGAAAAATCTTAAAATTAACTTTAAAATATTGAAACTAACATAATAATTGATCTACTCAGAAATTAAAAAAAGAGGTGAATCAGCACTGAGCACACCAATTCCTTTTTAAACATACATATTGTACAAGTCTTTTTAACTATTTTAAGGATCCATATGCAGTTAAATCAATTATTCATGAATGTTATTGTAGGTCCAGTTTTGCAATTTAAATTTCAAAGTATTGTAAAAAGAACTGGAAAAAAAAATTAAAATTATTATATTTCTTAACCTATTTTCATCTTATCTAAATTTCTTGAAAAAAAATACCATCTTACCATCAACATCAGAAAGGAAAAGTTAAATTGTCTTTTTAAGTATGTTTATGACTGAAAAACACATCAAACTTCCCTCAGTAATTTCATTCTATTGAAGTGCCTACTTCAATTACATGCATTCCTCCCAATTCATGACTTGATATTACCTATGACGTTCTTTTGGGCAAAGGTTTAAAGCTAAAAGAGTACAATATGGAAACATGTTTCTGGCTTTTTTTTTGCTTTTGTGAAGAAGTAAAAAAATTTTTGTTCAGTTACACTTTTGCTACAGAGTGACAAAATTTTACAAACTTGAAACCATTAAGTAGGATTCTCCAAATAAGTTTTTGGACACTCCCACTTCAGCTGAAAACAAAGTCCTTACCCTGATTAGTTACTAAAGATTAAAGCTATAAGAACGTTCAGCACGAATTACCTGAACATAAGAATGGAGAATGTCTCCTTTCCCTGCATCATGGACACTGCTGACAATGTGAATAAGGACACGTAAGGCATTTCTGGCAACTTCTTCATCAGCTGTTGCTACTAGAAGTCTGAATAATTGGGCAAAGATGACAGGCAGGAAGTTAATCATGGTACTGATATCTACAGCATGAAGAGCCTAAGAAAAATATAAGTGCTTTAGCCATAAATAATGACATGCAAACAATATATAATGGTTTAAGAGTATAGTACACCATACAAAGAAAAACTTAACAGAAATTGAAGATTATAATAAAAATGATTTCCAGCATATACTTATAATAAATCTTACAAATTTTATAATTCTAAAAACAAAATTACTGTTTTTATCTATAATGTCTGGTTTGGATATTTGTGCAAAGCTACACAAAGATTCTCTGCACTAGTAGATATCCTTAATTCTGAAATGATTGAATAGGCTATAAAGTAATATAATGAATGTCAAAAATCAAGAATTACTGTACATCAAAGACCAGGGATACATAGCTATAAATACACAGCAGTTTATGGATAGACATATATTAAGTAAAATACTGGAAAACATAAAGCTAATATTTAAATCTCTGATGCACTATATCAGAACAAAATTATACATAAACGAAAAATAATCAGAATTAAACTGATAAGAATTACAACATGACATAAACATTTATTAAGATAAACAAAAACTAATTTGTTTAATGGGTTGCTTTACTTATTTAAAGATCTAATTTTCTTTGAGGTTCTTTTTCAAGATAAGGCACATTTATAAAATAGTTTTAGACCTATAGACTGGTAAGTTTCTTTTAAATATCACAGTAGTATACACTTCCTTTAAGCAATCAAAGTTTAGCTTAACATTATTCCTTGCCCATATCTTTCAAGAAAATACACCTTATGGAATTACAGTTATCTTTCAAAGAATAAGACTATTTTTATTTGCAGATATTTGACAATACCTATAGTGTTTAATACAGTAACTAATACACACACACACACACACACACACATATATATATATATATATATCAACATACAACAATAATGCTTGTGCTTGGAAGGAAGACAGAGTAAGAAGAACATGAAGGCTGTTAAAAAATTTATTGAAACAATAGTTTTATAATATGACCTGACTACATTACATGTTCATCACATTAAATACATATAAATATATAGATATATATTTAATGAACCTTCTTTGCAGCAAAACATATGTTTCCGAAGCTTTCAACTCACACATGCTTAGTGAACATAAACATGCATACATGAACATCAGATCAGTGAAGTTACTAGTGTTTGAAACTAACTCTTCTAACAGCAAACATGTTCAACATTCCAAATACATTCTTCAGATGAAAAGGAAAAGAAATATCATAAAAAGATGCTCTCTACAGATGCATATAAAGTAATTTTGGAGTATCTGAAAACTGGCTAAGATGAGACAAAGAATGTTCATAAAAAGAAACACTAAACAAACTAAGAAACAGCAACGACAGCTTGTTGAGATTAATTAAGTATCCATCTCTTTTCATGATTATACCAATAAAACATCATTTTGATGTTTACAATACAACAGAATATCTATAAAAAATACTCTGTTAATCATTTATATATTTCTTTTACACAGAAGTAAACCAAGTTCACTTTCACAAAGAAATATTAATGGTTTTCCTACTTATTTGGTCAATATTAGCCAGTTTTTACACCAAGAGATAAGAAACTTTCAAACGATACAAGAAGATTCCTTCATGTTCATGCAGAACCTAGAGAGCCTGGCAGGGTAAAAGAAGTAGTTAGTTAGGAAATGAAACATTTTAAGAATTAAGTAAAAGTACCTAGTTATTTTCCACCAACTGTACACATAGCTATGTATCAAAACAGCTGAAAATACGTATAAGTTAGGATGAAGAAAGAAAAGAAATCTTGAGATAGGTCAAAACGTCTTCTGTTGTTTAAATAATGAGTGGTAAGTGTGAAAGTCATCTAGACATATGAACAAATGCGGTTATCTATTTATTTATGCTTAAGGGGTAGAATTTTCCGAAACTGGTATAACTGAGTGACAAGTGGTGAATTGAATGAGAGATTGAGCTTCGTGTTTATTTTTAGTATTTTAAATAGCTTGTCTGCTAAATAATTTAGAAGATAAAACATTAGTAGCATCAATACCATATATTTTTCAAAACATATATAAATATAGATTCATTGTAATAAGTAAAAGGAAACTCAAAATAGCAAACATATCATTTATACTCCACCATTATATGTAACCTAGTCTTGTTCTTTCTATTTGCCTTGTCCAGGGTAAGTGAATAGGGGCAGAATTCTCCAAATCTTGTATAATTCAGTGACAAGTTTGAAACAAACATAATGGGTTTAATATTTATTTTTAGTATTTTGAATAGCTTGTCTATTTAATAATTCAGAAGAAGAAACTTATTAGCAACAATGCCATATATTCTTTAAATCCTACATAAATACAGGCTTGTTGTTGTGAGTAAAGGAGAATTGAAAACACCACACATATAACGAATACTCCACCACTATACGAAGCTTAGTCTTTTTCTATGAATTTGCTCTTCAGAACAATAAATTAGTGGAATCACTGCTACACATTACTCAAATTTTATATAAAGATAAGTTAATCCTGATCATTAAAAGACAGCTTCATACATATAATATACTCTCCTCCCTGTCATTGTCCAGGAATATTGATGAGGAGTGGAATTATATGATTGTAAAAACATTGTCAGCTGAAAACACTGCTGATTGATTTATACATTTGCTTTCATGAAACATTACTGTTCATTCATTCTATAGTCATCACCACATTGTCTAAAATCTATTATCCAAGTTTCACCCCCGAAAGTGATTCACGAGAAGGGTCATATTTGTCATAATACAATTAAAGGCATGTTGTGCATTCTTTGTTCCAGTAAAACACACTGCTTATGTGCTATAATTTAGTCTGGAAGTAGAACAGGTGAGAAACTAAGAAAGATATTGTGTGGTTAAAGTGAGAAACTTAGCAAAGAATGTCAGGAAAGAAAGCGATAATTATTCAAATTAGAAATCAGATAATACAAAAACATCAAATACTTGATTGTATTCTATTTTTTAAAATCCATTATAAAATATAATGGATGAACATTTTGAAAGTTATACAGATAGGTGAATTTCATATACTCTTTGTGCTATAATTTCAAAATGTAGTTAAAAATATCACTTTTTTATGGAGTTAACAATAGAAGCCATCTGTAACACAAAACTGAACGTTATTTTGTTAAATAGCTAAGCAAGCCAAAGCCCACAACCCTTAAAAAATATGCCAGTTATTGCTACTCTTCTCACAAGTAGCTAAGAGGGGATTAATACAATTTTCTACAATTTGTTGCATATCAATAGACACTGCCTGTATTGGTTAGCTTAAGAACATTTGTTACACTTTTTTATAGAGAATTCATGCAAAGAACAAACCACCTTCAAATTCTTGGCCATCCCATGTTGAACCTAAAGCACAGAGAAAATGTTGTTGTTAGTGAAGGTTGATATAAAGAGAAAAAGAATACATAATCATTTTAAAGTTTGGCTGTCTCACGGACAAATCATGTTTGACAGACCCCACTGCTTAGTATTTTACTTATGAAAACTTATTGCACCACTTAGCTGATAACATAAGAATGTACAAATCCAGTCTTAAAAAAAAAAAGAAACTAGATTTTAAATTTAAATTAAATTGTTTAATACTAATCACCTGATTAATGTTGTTTTACTTGAATATGAAAAAAGTGACTTCACCCAGTATACCTCAGCCTTATGATGGATGCTCACAATGACATTAAAGTCTCTTTTGTTATAAATCATATGTTGCTCTTGCACTGTTTAGCCATGCTGATGAAGAGCTATACCAATCTTCAAGAAAGAAGTCCTACAGATAGTACCACTATCTTTTAGTTATGGTATGAAATTGTTACTTGAACAAATTTTGGTTGAAAAAACTACTTCTGGCAGAAATATAAGGAAAGGTGGCCATAAAAATGCCCCATTTTTGACTACATTTTAACCATTAATATACATTCTATGACATAAAGTTTATTGAAAAAGGTAAACTAAAACACATATGTTACTGAAGTGCTAAGTTTTGTGGTGATAAAATGAGCACGTGCATGTGCAGCACATAGCTGTGGCAAACTAGAAAAGTTTACTTAAAAGAATTTTATCAAAAATATGATAAATAATGTTAGTAGAAGAATATTCCATTTCCCAGAAGTGAGAAATAATGTACAGTAAAAAACAAGTCTAAAGGTAACACACAAATATGATTTCTGAAGAAAGCTTGCTTGCATAGAAAATACTACTACAGGTGAATTGTAAAGACCATTAGATAAAACAAATAACTGAAGTATACCTGACTAAACTATAACTCTCAACAAGCTTGTCAGTGAAACAAGGTACAATATAACATGAAACAGAAAAATTTGGTGCAGTTTAGTCAAGCAAAGAGAATACTTAGTAATAATGTGTTGTCCAACATATCAGGAACATTCGATGATGAGGAACCCACTTTGAGACTAATAATGGTTGGAGACAGCTTGAATGGGTAATGCAGAAAACTTTGATACAAGTTTAACATAACAGCAAATGTACAATGTTTTGACAAGGTTTTGTACCTGATGATGACAAAACCTTGTCGAAACGTTGTACATTTGCTTTTATGTTAAACTTATATGAAAATTTTTCTTCATTACCCATTGAAGCCGTCTCCAACCATTATACACCTAATATGCACAATCAGAAAATACCGAAAGCCTTGCTAACTAAAACACTGATATACATCCAGGCATTGAAGCCGTCTCCAACCATTATACACCTAATATGCACAATCAGAAAATACCAGAAGCCTTGCGAACTAAAACACTGATAAACATCCAGGCATTGAAGCCGTCTTCAACCATTATACACCTAATATGCACAATCAGAAAATACCGGAAGCCTTGCTAACTAAAACACTGATAAACATCCAGGGACATCTCTCTACCATTTTTGCCTTCTGTAACTTATAAGACTAACTACCTACTTACACCTTTATTTTAATTACTGCATCCTTTGTATTAGGTTCGCATTATCAGCTTAGTACATGATATTTCACGATTCGTTTAAAGATAGCACGTTTTTCACTATTCATTTTATACAAATGCCTTGTCTATCTTGCTATTAACATTATAACGTTATTCCAGTTTAATTTGTTCTGTTCGTACTTGAAAACGACCGCACTAGTGGTCGAAACGTTGTACTTATTCTAATATTTACAACTATCCACTGCAATTTGCCAAATAATTTTAATAATTAAATCGTATGCTATGTTGAATATTAACGACAGAACTTACAGTAATATTACTAATTGAACATGAAACTAATATTTAATTAGCGTAAGATGTGTTCATACATACATACCAACACACACATGTATAATATTTGTATTCTATGCCAAACCTACTAAGGCTATCTGACAGGAGGGGAGAGACAGCCAGTCAGCAACACCAACCACCAACACTAAGGGATTGGGCAGGTAATATTACAACGCATCCGCATCTTAAAATGAATAAAATATTGTGTGGATCAGAGCATTGTTTATTTGTTTCTAATTAACAATTAATAAAATCTTGTTAACCTTTATTAGTGCAATCAGGTTTTGGTTAAATCACGTGTCTTTATAAAGAGGAGTGAAATCTGAACTGCATATTTATGCGCATATACGTTAAATGGTTTGGTTTGTTTTGAATTTCGCGCAAAGCTACACGAGGGCTATCTGCGCTATACTTTCTCTAATTTAGCAGTGATAGACTAGAGGAAAGGCAGCTAGTCAACAATACCCACCGTCAACTCTTGAGTTACTCTTTTACCGACGAATAGTGGGATTGACCGTCACGTTATGACACCTCCACGGCTGAAAGGACGAGCATGTTCGGCGTGACGGGGATTCGAACCCGCGACCCGCATATGCGAGTCAAGCGCCCTAACCACCAAACGATGCCATGCCTACATTAAATGACCAGGTCAAAGACCCCTAACCCCCGGATTCAAATTTAGCCGCATATAATTTAGATTTACTGGCCTGAGAAAAGGTAGCCAGCTAACAGCACTCATCACCACAAGGGCGTCCCAGGTCGCTGAACCGAATACTGGGATTGACTGTCACTCTTATAATGCATCTACAGCTGTAAATACAGTTGGAGTTTCGCAATATCACGTCTCGAATTCCGGACCATTCGATTCACAGCAACCAGGAAATCCAAAAAAGGAAAGACCTTGCTCACTTGATTTTTCTGTGGACATGCTTGAATATGATTATACTTATATTTTAGATCTATGTAAATAATAATGAAATTAGAATAAACAAGATGTCTGTTTTTATAAAATGATGACTATACGAATTCTTCTATCTCTCTAACCAGCCACAATGCTTATTTATAGTGTATTATATAATATATATAGCCTCAACAAACAAAAAAGAACACCATTTTTAATTTATTTATAACTTTGATGCTTTTCTACCTTCCAGCAATGAGTTAAACTCCGATAAAATAAGGATTATCTTAAATTAAATATCGGTCCTTCGTCATTGCATGTTGACCGATTCTCTGCTTTCCAGATCTGTACATCGAACTTCCAGGATTTTTAGTCAAATGATCCGATTTTTGTTCGTTTTTTTAAAAAAAATTAATATAATGCAAAATATTTTTTCTACTTACTGCTTACAAGTCCGTGTAAAAACATTTAACATATACAAGTTATTTTCCTACTAGTCTTCGTCTGTTTGTTTGGAATTAAGCACAAAGCTACACACTGGGCTATCTGTGCTCTACCCACCACGGGTATCGAAACCCGGTTTCTAGCGTTCTAAGTCCGCTGTGCCACTGGGGGGCGCTACTAGAGTCAATAGACTGTACAGACAATTGTACTTTCTAGCATTTAAGGAGCAATACATCAAATTTTTAAACACGTATTTAGCATGCTTTACTCGCTGTATAATAAAATGTATCTCCAATAAAAGTTTACTTGGAATAAACTAGTTACAGCAACAACAACAAAAAAGGTTTAAGACATATTTAATAACATTAATAAACGAGTCAGAATACTATGCCTATTTGATAAACTATTTCAAAAATTTATTCGGATGTTAAACTTCAAACAAGTCTTTTACTCTGTGTGGAATCTTCAACCTTACACACAAAAAAACGTGATCTCTACGGTCAAAGCTAGCTTTATTTCTGAGTCGACATCACAATACACAAATACAGTATAGCTTCTTTGGTGAGTACTTTGGTCTATAGCAAATAAAACAGTTACAGCTGATGACACTTTAGAAGTGGGAACAGCTAAAAAATACAAGAACAACGTTAAATGCCCCCACACTCAGAATTCTGTTAGAATTTTCATTAAAAAAACATACACCAATATAAACTTCTTTTTGAAACTACGAAAGTTCTAGTAAGACAGAAAGTTTCATTAATGTATTTAACCTTTCCATAAATATGCAACTTAAAACTAGTAAAAATCAAAACAGCTAAAACCCGATAACAAAAATCGAGCACTAACACAATGTTAAACATTTCGTTGAGGCTAACGCCAACATCAAAATGAACAGTTTTCAAATCAGTTCTCGTTAAAACAATAAATAACTCAATACGTGTGTTTTGTTACATTTTTTGAGAGCCTATACTTAAAACACACACTACAAGTCTTAAGATCATGACAAGTGGTGTGTCAGTCAATGACAATTTACATTAAACACCAGCAACATTTTGTTTCACATGGAACTTACTTATGTGTCTACATTAAGCCATAACACTAGTTTCACTGACCGTTTGACCACCTCAATACTAAGACTGAATAGTATAGTTTGTCATTATTCCATTTCGTACTCGTTTTCTGGAAGTTAAACAAATTTAAGAGTTAATGAAAAGTTACAATTACCTAGTTTAAGAAGCTCTCCCAATTTTCGATCAGGTGTCCGTTACAGACAGGAATATGATGAAGATCGAGAACTAATCTTTAAGAAGACTTTAAAACTCGTGTAAGTTGTAAGGAAGAAATGTATTTGTAAATGGGGCTTTATTCACAAAATATATTGGGGAAAAACAGCTATTATAAAGGCAAAGAGTATTCGATATCCGCATTAAACAACATAGGCGTTTTCTTATGAGCAATAATTCTAAGTATCCAGCCATATCTCGTGGGCTGTTTGGCGCCTAAAAACCTTTCTTTCAGATTCAACGTTAACACATCAATAAGATAAAATATAATCCAAAATATTTGCTCGTTTGCATCGTTCGAAAGTAGCCAAGACTTGCATATTTTAGCAGGATTCTCCGAAACACTAAATACTGGTGTTATAACGTATATTTGTTTATGTAAAAACCCTCTAGTCTACCAAAGTTCTACAAATTCGTGAGCACCGACTTGTACTAAATAGAACTAAAATCACAAAACCAAACACAAATACACGT